CAAAGTGATCTTCAACCACCTCTTCCTCAACCTCCATCTTGATTTCATCTTGATCTAGCAGCATGCCCATGGGGGAAGCTGCCCTGGAAGAGGAACTGGAGGATCTGAATGCCTGAGAGGTCAAATCATTGGGTGGGGTGAGAACTTCTCGGACATTTTCTACCATTTCACATTTCCCAGGGTTCTTTGACAACTGATCAGACATTACATTCAACTTAAATTTAGCCTTGGAATCAAATGGAATGACTACCATAGGCTGTGTTCCCTTTGTACTACTTACAAACACTTTACTCTGTGATACTCCTAATTGACTTTGAAGAGCTTGGCCTCCATTACTAGATCGAGTTGATCTTGCCGATGAAGAATCACCACCCTGTTTTGCAACTGGACTTACAGGAGACGCCGAGCCCCCAGTGTGTACATCTACAGATTCGTGAGACTCATAGCCATAGTCGTCGTCCACAAGGTCACGAAATGCCTGTCCCGTTAAGTTTACTTGAGACGGCACCGTGCACTCCGGCACCATTGCTTCTGTTTTAGTGTTGCAAGAATAAGCCGAATTACATTCCTTGGTCTGTGGAAGTGCAGCTTTTAGTTTATTAATGAGGTTCTGATTTACTGAATACCTATTATTGCCTGTTTCCCAAACGCCAAAAGAAGAAAATTCATATTGAAGTCGGAGAAGTCTGCGTGGTGGATTAGAGGTTGGCTCTAGAGTAACACTTGTTATGTGGAGACAATCCTGTATATGGTCCATATAGTCCTCCATATCATCACATAAAACATTGCACCGCCCACATACAAAATCTCCATCATCTTGCTTTTTTATTCTTAGAGTAGGCCTCCAAGATATGCTAACATTGGGATTATTTTTCAACTGGGCAATTTTTTCCCTAATCACCTCAGTTCTAGATATCTTTGTATCAACAGCTTTGGTCTCTTGGACCAGCTTCTTGGCCTCATAAATATTGCTAGTTTCTATAACTTGCACATTGCTTTCTTCACTGTTCTTATCACTTGTATTTTCAGGAACTTTGAGAGTGTAGGTGGTTGTGATGGATGGCAGCATGTATGAGTCTGTACCACACACCTGCTCTGCTTCCTCCCCCTGCTCAACGGCTACTGTTTCTTCTGAACCAGACACATCATTACCCGCCAGGGATAACACAGATGGTCCAGAAATTTCAGCTCTTTCGACAATTTCTGGAAAGATGGTGGACTCGGCATCATCCACAACAGCACTGACTGGGAGCGTAATGTGTGTAATTCTCTCCAATGGTGGTGGAGATCTGGTGGTTTGGATTACTGTTGAATTTTTAGCTTTCTTCTTAGTTTTGGGTTGTATTTTAACAAAACTATCCATAACCTTTGCAACTTCAGGTTTCAATACTGTTACACTCTTTTTTCTAACTCTCTTTACCTTCCTCGGTCCTTTACTACATCTGTGACTTGTGAACTGAAAGAGATTATAGAAAGTGCTGTTGCACTCAGAACAAATGTAAGAATGAACTTCCTTAATGTGACTCTTCACCTCCTCTTCTGTTCTGAAGGCTATACTACAAACTGGACACTTTGGCTCAGCATCAGTCTTGTCAGTCACAGGAAAATCTGGCTCGTCTGATTCCTGATCAACTTCACCTATTGAAATGGAGTTTGTTTGATCCTGTGCTCCAGAATTCTCAACTCCAGTCTTCCTTTTACGGGTATCGCGAGACCTGCGTGCCTTGTGTGTACTAAGATAGTGTGCTTGCATATCTTCAAGAGAAAAAAAGATTTGATCACAGAGCACACATTTGACTGTCTTTTCAGAAACAATTTCATATCCCTTGTCACACTGGACTGTGCTCTCTGTGCTCTCAGCAACAGAGAGAGCAAGAGGATCCTCAGACGGCTCACCAGCATTAATTATAATCTGGTGGGTGTCAGGAATGCTGCTACTCCTGAATGAGATTCTCTTGGTCATTATTGGGATTCTGGTTGTGGTTGAAATAATGCCAGTACTATCCTTTGTGACTAATATTGCTTTCTTAGGAGAGTTACTTTTTTTCACTGGGTTATTATTTGTTACTGGAAGGCTGGCTGTAACTGGTATGGTTTGTAAAACTGAAGCACCTGTAGCTTGTGAAATATCAAACACCAGCACTGGTACCCACTGCTGAGAGGCCTCCGATACAGCAGGCTGAATAGCGAGTGGGGGTTTGACCACAGCAGATGGAGGTTTGCCTTTTTTGGAATTGGTCTTAATGCGACTAGACCTCAAAATTCTAATCTTATCCATGACTGAAGTCTTCATTTGTGTCAGACTTTTAACAAACTAACAAAACTACAAATAATAATATAAACCGGGCAGAAACTGATAAGGATTCATGCAAAGCAAAAGGCAAACATTTTCAAACAAGCAGTTCTAGTCAAACACAAGAAACACGAGCCTTACTTTCTTTAATGTTTCGTGTGAACTTAGTGATCATTCGGGCCACTAGAAGAGAGCCTACATACTTCAATATCTGCAAAGAAGAAAACAATATTGTTATACAACTGTGTACAGGCTAATTCATAGTAAAACAAACGCTAGTAAACAAAATTTCCCTTAAACCTAGCTCTAACATGCATGATTTGTGTTTTTGTGTGTGCAATTTAAAAGTTAAAAATCTAAATGCACAATGTAACATTCACCTGTCTCCCCCCAGCCAATGAATTCATATACTGTACAGTAAAACCTCAACCTGTGAATGCCCCTACTAATGAATTTTTAAGTTACAACCCCAATTTCGTCGGAAAATTTGACTATTTACGACCTTTGCCTAGACTTGCGACTTTGTTGATACACTTATAGGTCGACCAAGCGCATGGTTCCTGGTTTGATGGATGACCTCGCTTCCGTTTACCAGACTGCCTGCTTAGTAATGATCGCACTTGAATTCTTTGTAAAGAATTTCATTGTTTTCCTTCGCCTCTGGAGGAAAGTACGAAGCTTCCCTACCCAACAACCGGAGGCAAGGGAAACTAAAAACAGTGACTTATAAACACAAACTGAAGGAAACACCAAAGAAATATGGAGAGAAATGTAAAAACACGGTCCAGAGACTAAGCAGGCTCAGGTGGTGCACAAGTAGGCCAAAGGAAAAAAAGGCACAATACAGATGGTGAAATGCAATCGAGGAGGAACCCTGAATGCCAGCCCCAATGGCTTCCCCAGTGCTGCACAAGATGGTGCGACAGTATGAGGCACGAGATGCCAACCAAGAAAGGAGAGCATCACATGCTCAGAAATCGAAAAACAATGATTAAGGGAAAAAGTGACAAAAAGGGTGCCACAAAACTCTCAATGTTGCTTAAAAGAGGAATGCAGGCGAGACATCAAAGAAGCCACCCACGTGTCTTTATTGCCATATTTATGGCATGTCAAAAGCCCAGACACAAAGAGGGCAGACATCCAAACCACGAAACTACATCACCAGACATTGTTGCACTCAGAGACGAAACTTTATGAAATTTTAAATGAGGTCATATATTCCCAAGGGGCTACTCAGTTTGGAGACGGGACAGAAAAATTAGGAAAGGCGGAGGCGTTGCTGTGCTGGTGAAAGAACACCTAAAGATAAACGAAATAATGACTGCCAATCCATGAGAAGTTGACATAATAGCACTAGAGATCTGCAATAAGGATAATAAACTAATGATCATATATGCATATAGTCCACCGCCATGCAACAAATAATCAAAGGAGGAGCTGGATAATAAATGAGAAGGTCTTATAACAATAATGAGAGACTATAGCGAGAGCTGATAAAGAAAGATCACGACTGTTGGTAGTCGGCAACTTCAACTTGAAATCCATGGACTGGGAAGCATATGAAGCTAGAACAGAGGATTTTTGGACATGAAGATTTGTAGACCTCACCCTGGAAACGTTCTTGTATCAACATGTTAAACAAGCTACAAGGATGAGGGAAGGGGATGTTCTCTCCATGCTAGATTTGATATTTACCAGGAAAGAGGAAGAGATTTTTGACATTCAGTACCTTCCTCCCTTGGGTAAAAGTGACCTTGTCTTTTAGGGAATAAAGTATGCATTGCATTATATAAGAAAATAAAGAAAATAAATAAAAGTATAAATAAAATATAAATATAAATAAAGAAATAAAAGGAAGAAAATATGGAGGATGAAGCAGTTGAAAAATCTGTCTTCAGAAGAGGACATTATGGGGACCTTAAAAATAAATTAACGAGTAGAATTGGACAAACTTGTTGCTGGGCTAGGAAGTATATGAGGTTTATGCCAAGTTTTGTGAAATATCTACAGTATTTAAAGGCACAACAAAATTTATACCAAAGCAGAGATGCAGAACCAGAAAACAGGATTGGCTCAACAGAAATTGCGAAATGGTCAGAGACCAAAGGACACAAAAATGGAATCAATATAGGAAGAGGCCAAACCCCCACACATAACAGTGATACGAAGATGCAAAGATGCCTAACTAAAAAAAAAAAATAGCACAACTCTCAGAGGGCCTAAAGATGTTTTGTGCAGTGCAGTGGTTAAATTAATTTCTTCTCTTGTTTTCACAGATGATTATTGCTTGAACTGGAAAATTACGCAAGGACAGACACCTAGAAAGGTGCATTATTGGTAATAAATAAGTGTCCACGGTACAGTCGGGTTCAGTCTCGGTAATTCACAATCGAGAATTCAGAGTTCATATCCTGGGTGGGACAGAAATGGTTGGGCGCATTTCCTATCACCTAATGTCCCTGTTTACCTAATAGTAAGTATCAAAGAATTAGTCGGTTTGTTGTGGGGGTTGTATCCTGGGGAGGTCAGCAATTTGACCTTGACAGGGGGAGGGAGGGATGGGGAGACCATGATATAAGTAACATGTACACAACCCAATCCCCCAACACTATTATACAAACGAATTGAAAATGCTACCAATGACTGCACATTGTAGACAATCTTGGCTATTAATACCACACCTAAACATTTAATGGTACCCCCCCACTCCCCAAAAATGCGAGACAAAAGCCCATGTGCAAAAATTTTGTGTTGACATCTTTATGCATATTGCATAAACAGCATCCATTCCAGTATCATTGTATTAAAGTAAGTGTACAGAGACAAGCACATTCAAAGAGTTATATTAACAAAGTAGTTATTAGTACAGTAGTTAACAAACGGAATGCATTAGGCAGTGATGTTGTGAAGGCCAACTCCATACACAGTTTCAAATGTAGACATGACAGCCCAAATGGCTCTGGAATCTGTACATCAGTTGACAGACAGTCGAGAGGCAGATCCAAACAGCCAAAGCTCAACCCCCGCAAGCTCAACTAGACGAGTACAACTAGACAAGTATAAGAGTATGAAATGAAATTGTGTGTAGGATGCTTGATGGGTAAATAAAAAAAATATGCAACTAATCTTCCTACATATAGTTCACCCATAGCACATGAGGGTCCAGTTCCTCAAGTCATGATGTAATTCCCTAATGTCGTTACAGGATTAGAGCTACACTTGTGGTTGTCCTGCCTTCCCAGTACTCTGTCATATAATGCTTTGAAACTACCAACAGTTTTGGCCTCCACCACCTTCTCACATAACTTGTTCCAACCATTTACCACTCAGTTCATAAAACAAAACTTTGATGTTTTTTCAGCAGCTTTGTTTCCTTAGTTTGAACCTATGTCTGAAACGTGATTTCAGAACGTGGAAACATGGAACCTATGTCTGGTTTGCTCGAAACGCTGTGTATTAGTGGCTTTAGGTATTTTATGTACTAGCTCTACATATAAATCCAACATTATGTTTGTAAATCAACTATATATGTACTTTTCCTGAATAAAGAATTTAATTTAATTTAATGTCCTCTATGTTCTTGAGAAGTTATAATATAAGTTATAGAAGTTATAAAAGAAGTCCTGTGAGAAGTTATAATTGAAAAATGGTTACAAAATAAGTCTCTTAAAATGTGAATTCATGCAGAAGACCAGTATTTAAACCGGTGTGCAATATGATTGTCAGACACTGTTACTGATTATTTTGTACACAAGACTGTATGCCAACAGATTTTTATTTTGAATTGAAACCTAACATAACTCTACACTAAAAAGCACCCAAAATCATCTCAAGATAACCATATCTAGCACAACTTAATCCAGCTACTTAATCATTTTTAGTTATAACAATTAGAAAACAAGGTATACATGTGAAATGTCCCCGATTTGACCATCCCAAAGAAATAAAAAAAAAAAAAACCTCGGGCTAAATGAGTTAAAAAAAAAACTCAAGCCAAAAGAATTACAAAAAAAAAAAAAGGCCAAGAGAATTAAAAGAAAAAACAGGCCAAAAGAATTACAAAAAAACACAGGCCAAAAGAATTACAAAAAAACACAGGCCAAAAGAATTACAAAAAAACACAGGCCAAAAGAATTAAAAAAAAACACAGGCCAAAAGAATTACAAAAAAAACACAGGCCAAAAGAATTAAAAAAAAAACACAGGCCAAAAGAATTACAAAAAAAACACAGGCCAAAAGAATTACAAAAAGACACAGGCCAAAAGAATTACAAAAAGACACAGGCCAAAAGAATTACAAAAAGACACAGGCCAAAAGAATTACAAAAAAACACAGGCCAAAAGAATTAAACAAAACACAGGCCATAGGAATTGAAAAAGCTAATGGCCACTGGAATTCAAAAACACAGGAGGCCAAAGAAATTTAGAAATCCACATTCTGCAATTTAAAAGCCCTCATCCTGACAATTTAATATCACTTGCCCCACAATTTAATAACCTTCAGACATAAAGTTTATAAGACTCTCAAGCCAACACTCTAAGGGGGCCCTTGGGCAGGAAGAATCAACAACAAAAAAGGAAAAAGCAATAGAATTTAAGTACAAAATTCGGGTAGACAGAATTTAAAACCCACATCGTGTGATCAGCTGAGAGGACTACCACAGAGCAGGGCCCTCCTGCCCCTGGGGCTTCACGGGGGGGTTGAGGGGGATGGCACACGAGGGCCAAGCACCCCCTGGAGGACCAAGCAGCCCCCTGGAGGACCAAGCAGCCCCTGGAGGACCAAAAAATGGGAGTTTAGGGGGGCTGGAGGAGGACATTAGGCTCACCTTGAAGGTTGTTTACACGACGACGGCGTCCACAACAGACCAGCCCACAAAATGGCTGCGTTACATTCCCGCCCAGACGACTTCTCCAGCCGTCTTCCTCGCCTTCTCTCTCTCTCTCTTTCCCTCTCTCCTTTGCCTTCACTAGTATCAAACGCATCGACCCAGTACGTCGACGTTATCCCGAGAGCAATAGCGCGGACTGGCTGCGGTGTGGGGGTGTGGAGCGGTGATGTCTCGGGCGGGAAGACATGAGGCGGGAGATCGCGGGCGGCCGGCGGAGGGAGCGATCATTGTTGCGTCCGCCGCCTGCACACCTGCTGGCTCTCTTCCTCACACATTACTCACTCTCTTTTCAAAGATTTCTTTAACCGTCTACTCAAATTCAATCACTATATTCCGCTATATGGTATCATTAAGACACCGGTGTATTTATCCTTTTCAGTGCACAGGTCGGGACTGATCACTGCCCTGGCATGCCAGCCACTGTCAACCTGGGTATGGTGACCCGATGGTCATTACACCAGGTCAGGGGCTCCACCGGGGCACGGGGAACGTGTCAGGGGCTCCACCAGGGCACCACGTGGCTCTACGCACCAGCCAGGCTCTTATACACGGCTGTCAGGCTCCAGCATTTCGCGCAGGCCCTGTCCACCCACACCAGGCAGCACTACAGCCCCCCCGTCAGTAATGTCCCCTTCTGCAGCGGTGGTTGCTGGCTCCCAGTATTAATCTTGCATGCTGGAAGGAGCGACGTAGGCGCTGGAGGAGGTTGGTGGAGGGCCGCGAGGGGTGTGGGCCGCTGCTACCTGCCGCTGCGGGAGTTTCGGCTGCTGATTGCCTCAGGTGAATGGCGTACCTGTCCACTTTTCAAATAATCCTTCCTATTTTCCTTTCTTGGATCACTTGGATGCCGGCGGCTGCTTGAATAGTATCAGACCGAGTGTCGGGGATTAAGATGGAGTTGAGGCGTGTAGTGAAGGAGGTGACAAGGAGCGAGATAAACTTGTAAGTTGTAACCTGAATGGGCAACCCGAGCGGGGGAACAAGTGAACCTGTCTCCAGAAGCCTCCCCTCCCCCCCCCCTCTCCGTCCGTCCCTCCCGGAGCTCTGTCCTCTTTTGCCCGTTTAACGCATCTACCCAAACTCCTGTGCCAGTTTCAACTATAGTAACCTTATATTGAGCAACTTTAACGCTCATTTTGAATATTTGATGGTCAAATAAGGAGCAAAGGAGCCTAGAGAGAGAGGTGAACCTGTCTGCTATCTCCCCCTTGGTTACCGTCTGCTCGGAGCGTTCCATATCGTCTCGCTCACCATATTTTTCCACACAATGTTCATTTAGCGTGTAATACCTTGCTGGGGGCGCATGACATTAGCGTCACACTACCAGCTGAGCCTTGACTCCTTATACTGAAGGTATCGTGTCCATCTCGGTAAAGAAAGAGAGTTGAGAAGAAAAATAATAGGGTGATGTGTGTGTGTGTGTGTGCGTGCGTGCTTGCGTGCGCGCCGTGCCCTGGGGCGCTGCGGGACGCCCTCACTCTTACCTCCCATTGTTCCTCCTCTCCCACCCTTCTCTTACTCCTCCTCCTCCTTCTCTCCCAACCTTCTCTTCCTCCTCCTCTCCCAACCTTCTCTTCCTCCTCCTCCTCCTCTTCCAACCTTCTCTTCCTCCTCTCCCAACCTTCTCTTCCTCCTCCTCCTCTTCCACCCTTCTCTTCCTCCTCCTCCTCCTCTCCCACCCTTCTCTTCCTCCTCCTCTCCCAACCTTCTCTTCCTCCTCCTCCTCCTCCTCTCCCACCCTTCTCTTCCTCCTCCTCTCCCAACCTTCTCTTCCTCCTCCTCCTCCTCTCCCACCCTTCTCTTCCTCCTCCTCCTCCTCCTCCTCTCCTACCCTTCTCTTCCTCCTTCTCCTTTCCCACCCTTCTCGGAGTGAGTGAATTCAGAGATAAAGAACGAGGAAGCGAGAGCAAGAGAACTAGGGATTTAAAGAGAGGGAGCGAGAGCAGGAGAGTGAAAGAGCAAGGTTCCAAGAGAACGTGGAAGCAAGAGAGAGAAAGAGAGAGGAGGGGAAGATAGAATGAGAGCGAGAGAAAGAGGGAGAGTGTAAGAAAGAGAGAGGGATAGGGGAGCAAGAGGAGGAGAGAGCGAGGGAAGGAGAGAAAGAGAGGAAGTGAGAGATGGGGAGAGCAAACGATAAAGAGGAGTGAGCGAGAGGGATGGAGCAAAGGAGAGGGATGGAGCAAAGGAGAGGGATGGAGCAAGCGAGAGAGAAACTTAGCCAGCAAGCAAGACGAGGAGGTGACATTGAGGCTCTTATCATATTTACATTTCAATTTCTGCATCAAGCAAGCTTCCACCACTTCATTGTCTGGCTCTGTCCATTTATTGACATCTATAACACTGCAGTAGTTCTGACACTTAACTAATTTGTTTTAAGTTGTTAGCTATGCCCCATACTTCTCCTGCCCCAGGCTTGGTTCTTTGTAAATTTGGTAATTTCAGCTTAAAAAATCTTGTATGTCTCTAACATGTCCCCCGGGCCCACTGTTGATCCCTCTCCGGAGTGAAGAGTTGGTTCCGTCATACTTTCCTCATATCTTATAGCCCCTTCAGCTCAGGGACGAGCCTTGCCCCTCCCGTATGTTGTGAATCCAATTTCATGTTTATATATTTTTTCACTGTTTAAAAATGTGGTGATCATTGAACAAATCCACAAGGGCCGTGATGAGGGTTCGAACCTGTGTGTATGGCGATCATTATTCACGCCCAGCGCCTGTTCAATCCAAGTCTTGTGCGGCATTCCAGATTGGAATGTTAGCCAGTCTGTAGTGGATGTAACAGTTATCCCAGATGCACATCTCTGTTTACAGTTATCCCAGATGCATATCTCTGTTTACAGTTATCCCAGATGCACATCTCTGTTTACAGTTATCCCAGATGCACATCTCTGTTTACAGTTATCCCAGATGCACATCTCTGTTTACAGTTATCCCAGATGCACATCTCTGTTTACAGTTATCCCAGATGCACATCTCTGTTTACAGTTATTCCAGATGCACATATCTGTTTACAGTTATCCCAGATGCACATCTCTGTTTACAGTTATCCCAGATGCACATATCTGTTTACAGTTACCCCAGATGCACATCTCTGTTTACAGTTATCCCAGATGCACATATCTGTTTACAGTTACCCCAGATGCACATCTCTGTTTACAGTTACCCCAGATGCACATCTCTGTTTACAGTTACCCCAGATGCACATCTCTGTTTACAGTTATCCCAGATGCACATCTCTGTTTACAGTTATCCCAGATGCACATCTCCGTTTACAGTTATCTCAGATGCACATCTCCGTTTACAGTTATCTCAGATGCACATCTCCGTTTACAGTTATCTCAGATGCACATCTCCGTTTACAGTTATCCCAGATGCACATCTCCGTTTACAGTTATCTCAGATGCACATCTCTGTTTACAGTTATCTCAGATGCACATCTCTGTTTACAGTTATCTCAGATGCACATCTCTGTTTACAGTTATCTCAGATGCACATCTCTGTTTACAGTTATCTCAGATGCACATCTCTGTTTACAGTTATCCCAGATACACATCTCCGTTTACAGTTATCTCAGATGCACATCTCTGTTTACAGTTATCCCAGATACACATCTCCGCTTACATCTTTGCTTCCCTCTTTCCACTTCTTTCGTTGTTTGCTGTCGCGCCAGACCGGGTCCAGTCCTTGTTTACAGCGTCCCGGGAGCACAGTCGGGGTCCTCCTCGACTCGCAATCGGGAATTCCGGGTTTGAATCCCGGGCGGGACATAAATGATTTGCCACGTTTTCTGTCAATTGGGGCCTCTGTTAACCCTTAGGAGTAAATAGGTACAGGTTCAAACAGTGCTGGACAATTTCGGGAACCTGTGTCACCATATGGGATTGGTGGTTAATGAAAACAAAACTAAGTTTGAATGTAGAAGTCGGAGCCCCATTGTTTTGAAAATAAACGGTAAAAATATAGAGAGAGTTAATATATATAAATATTTAGGCATATATGTTGGATATACCCATGAGAGTTTGGAAGCTGAGATGAACAGACTGTTGGGTCAATGTCGGAAGAGATTACAACCTCTGAAGGCCTTGGCATGCTGTGGAAAGGGAGTGGGAGTCCCTGTGCTACGAATGATATACTTGAGTACTGTAAGATCTCTTATTGATTATGCTGCACCTGTCATTTCTTGTTTTGGTAAAGGTAGGATGGGCAAGTTGGAGAAGGTACAAAATGAAGCCATGAGGATTATCTTAGGATGCCCAAGAAATGCTATGATTGAGATAATGAGGATGGAGTTGAATCTGCAGAGTATTGGGGATAGAATTTCAGAGATAAATGTAGCCTCTGCCATTAGATTAATGAGAGGTGGGGGAGCTAATGAATTAATCCTCTCGGTTCAAAAGGTGGGAAGTAGTGAACAGTGTATGATGAAGAAGAGAGTATATATGAATAAATTATGTTATAATGTTATAAAGTATGATGTTATTACAGAGTGTATTGCTGTGCCCAAGAGAAAATTTACACCACCATGGGAGGATTGTAATGTAGATGTAGTAATTACTACCTTGCATACGAAAAAAAGTATGTATGAAATAGGAGAGCTGAGGGCAACTTATGATTGTATAATTAGAAAACTGCCTACAGAAAACACTCTACATGTATATTGTGATGGGTCAGTAGCTAGGGATGGGAAGGCAGGATGTGGAGTCTTGATCAGGGAGTACACTGACATCGGCACTGTAGATACTGTTATTGGACGCCGCTTAACTGACAATGTCTCTTCAACGCAGGCTGAACTCCAAGGAGTATTAGCAGGATTACAGGAAGTAGTCAAATGTGGTAAAAATGCTTGCTTCTTTATTGACAGCAGAGGAGCGTTAGAGTCTTTAAATAGCAGACGCCCAGTATATCAGAATATTGTGATAGAGTGTAGAGAGAATGTTAAGAAATATAAAAAACTGGGTATAAAGTAAGATTCATGTGGATCCCTTCACATGTGGGAATACTGTTGAATGAGGTAGTTGATATAGCGAAGAGAGCCACTGAAAAAACTCTTGTTGATGTTGTATGTCAGTTAACCTTGAAACAAATAAAAACAAGACTCAAGGTGATTCAGGAGGGTGAAGAAATGATAAAGAGAATGACAATGGTGGACAGTAGTAACACACTTAAGAATTATTCAATAATAAATATAAATTCGTCCTTCACTTATGGTAAAGGAAAGTCTACTTGGAAGGATTCCATTTACATGAGATTACGATTAGGATATAAATATATCTGGCAATACGGTGTTGATGTCAGTGAAAAAGATAAGGAGTGTAAATATGTAGTATGCCGCACGCCCACACCTTAGAACATTATGTATTAGAGTGTCACCTTATTGATAACTATAGAAATAAGGAAATAAATAGTGTACCACATCAAATTGTTTGGATGTGTGATAATGGTATAATAGACAGTATACTGAGGAGCTACAAGAATTTTGCCCCAAGAATGTAACAATTATATGCTGTACTTACTGTATTAACCTGTAATGTTAAATGGGATTCTTGTAATGTTATTTGTCTATTTGTACTCAATGAATTTGTGAGCCCCTTGAGGGACTTGAAGTAGAGGGGGGTAGAAATAGCCTAAGCTACTCTATCCCTTTGAGATGTATTTATTGCTTATCTCAATAAACATACTTGAACTTGAACTTGAAAGGTACAAAGAGGTTGGCTTGTTATGGGGGGCGGGGGGGGGGGGTTAATGACGTCAGCCCCATCACCCTGAGACGACACTTGTGGACATCAGCCCCATCACTCACGGACATCAAATAGTATTTAAAACATCTTTAGAAATAAGTTACCGAGATGAACATCAACGACAGTGAAATAGTGTCACCATTTCGTCACACCGTGACGCACTATATAAAGGTTCTCTGCCCAGTCACTATATCTAGCGCCCCAGCTATTCTCTGCTGCCTC